TTAAAAGTGACATACACAATTTTCTCGTGTGTGTCCATGCGTTTGATTTTATAATTTTATAAGGAATCCAGACATATCTCATTACATTCTGCCAAACTTAGGCAAAAAATAATACCAAATAAACCCATAATAGCAGGTAATAATGCTAATAATAGTTTATTTGACATTAAGAGAACCTCTTCAAAGTTCGAGTGAATTATATTCAGCGATTTAAAATGGAATATGTTTGTCTGGCAGATGTTCCCATCTGTTTCTCACGGTCACTTTGGAGATTTTAATGGCTACGGGCGTGACATGTTCAATGAGTTGCCAAACTCTTAGAGGCGTAACGTCTCCACATCCTATTAACTCTGAACTTGGATAACTTGGAAGATGCGCCGGTTGAATTCAAGATTGTCGAGCAAATTTGAAATTTTTATCACGCCCGGAGCTTAAGTGTTCTTCGAATAAGTTTCACAGTTTCTCAACTTAGTTTGTGAGAATGCTGAGGTGAGACGTTCATCAAAATTTACAACTTAGTAATCGCGAGAATATGGTATGTCTTCATCTGAAAATTACTCCCTAATTAATTATTTCGCCGAAATATTCATTAAGCATAATATTCATTTTCTTTAGCCATTATTCATCTTTTTGTTGCGATATTTTCAATTATCTAATTTTATTATTCTATTTTGCTTAATATTATTAATATGACTATTATTACTTTGATTAGTGTTATTAATACAATATTATTATTTTAATTAATCGAGAGTTAAAAATTTAAGAGACAGGTCTTTCAAGATTGAAAAATGAAAAATTTCACGAGCAACAATATCGTCGGAAGCGGAAGAAGAAATCACCAGCCCTTGATAGACGTTCATTTTGGCCCGTTATAACCGGCACGTGCGGTAAAGTGTGCATAACTCGAAACGACTACGGTAAAGGGCGCGTAAAACGTCAACGGTTGACCGTCAATTGTCCGTCATAACTCTGGGGAAACGCGCGAGCTCCGTTTTACGTTGTATTACTTGGCGCGGCTCGCTTTAGAGTCGCAACCTTTACGGCGGTCGTCGCGCTGCGATGACTGACACTTTAATTCCCGGTTAATCTCGCGGAGAAATCGATTCGATAGGCCGACACGCGGCTCGTGTGATAGTTTTAAGGACTAGGCTAATTTATTGCGAGCGTTGCATAGGGTCGCGTCACGCGACGCCGCGACCCATAAAGGGAAAACGCGGAATGTCGGCAATTTTTTTCCCCTCTGCGACATATGACACAAACGACGTGTTTAATGCGCGATGAATTGCTTTTTGATGGAACTTTTTGTTTTCTCGTCAACGAAAAGGTTTAACGATTTTTTTGTTAAAAAAATAGAGGAAATATTAAATTATTTATTTAGAGACGAATTTGAAATTTATTAATATATATATATATATCTCCTTTAGCGAAAATATGCCATCCGAGAAATTTACGTTTCGCGGCAAGTTCACTTGCAATGTTATCTCGAGTTTAACCTTTTGAAGTTAAACTAGCCTATAGCAGTTTTCTTTATCTACCCAACCTAGAGGCAGCTCATATTTATCGCTTGCCTCTATGCACCCGGCCTAAGGGTCCGCGTTCTCGCGATAATATTGCAACCCGTATGTGCAGTAGTAGCCATCGCCGGCGGACAAATGTTCCTTTCTTCCGCTTTGCATTATTTGCCACCGACGGTGACGACGACTAAAAGATTCGACCCGATTAGATAACGAAGTGTGCATCCAACATGCATGAGGTAGGTTCTGGGCTGGAACAAACTACGTCATTCAAATTGACGCACGATATCCGATTGCACACTCATTGTCAGATCGCGCTGTCAGCGATCGATTGTTCGAATCGGTCCATCTATCTCTGATCGCGAGGAAAATAAACAAGCGAAAACTTAAAAAGCGCACGTAAAAGAAAGATAGATTATTATAGATTTTTTTTATATGGAATGAATTTTAAAGTATAATGCTAAAGGTTCGAAGGGAAGCCAATCTTGCTTTATTTTAATGCGCGACTGATCATCCGAAGTGAAAAGGGTCGGCCACGGTCAGACGCCCTTCGTTAAACTTGAATCGATCAATTTTAAATCGACTTTCTAATATTGAGGGCATTTTAATGCGTTGAATAGGCTCTGAATTTTTCTTTCTTTTCTTTCATTTTCCTCTCTTCCACTCTCGATTTTTTACGTTATTATTAAACCGGCCCTCGCGAGAGCTCGCGATCGAAATGAAAGGGTTGAACCAGCGCGACGAATTCCACCTCGTTAGCGGGTCGCGACCATCGACTGTCGGCTGTACAAATTACTACACCCTTTTTTTCCTTCTCTCTCTCTTCCGTGCTCTCTAATTACGAGGCCGGAGGCGACTCTAACGAGTTTGCGAGCGACGCTCGTGATCGCTTTCATAAAGTCACTCGACTTTATTCCACAGGGGATCAAAACGCGCGCATGTTCGCGTGCTAGAATCATCCGGCCATCTATCTATCCGGTGTCTCGTTTCATCCGAATGACAAGACAGTCACAGGGGAAAGTGCATGCTTGCGCTACCTCTTCGTACGAAACACCCAAGAGCTTCGTTTAACCTATAGATTGCATGATCCGGCTCACATATGGAAATATAACGCGAGTCATTCATTCGTTCAATTATTCACGCTTATATTCTCCTGGGGAATCCGAAGCTACACTTTTTACGCGATGGAACGTACTCGGTGAATTTTGATATAAAATGTTGAGATGTTGCCAGAAATTAATTGATAGTATTTGAAAAGGCGTTGCTTAATTAATTAATCTAAATATTACTTACTACCAACATTATTTATTAATATTATTATCAATAAATTGCTCTCGTATATTCATCGATTAAAAATATATAAAATAAAATAAATACAAACGTGCATTTCGCTATTTTCCCATTATAAACTATCATTCTGAAACTATCAATTTATCTCTGTCATTTTTCGCTCGATACAGTTTGTCTCAGAGAGGGATTGCTGTATATTACATATTTTCCATTTTCAATAACATTTTTGCGGAAATGGCAAAAGCGTATCTGGAGAGAAATTTTATCCGTGTCCGTTAGGTGTGTCGACCGATATCGACCTCTCACCTTCTCCACGACGGAGATGACGACCTCACCTGTATTTCGACGGCGAAAAATTACTCGGCGAGTCCCAGGAGCAGTATAAGGGCTCTCGAGGATGAAGTAGCTGAGCGAAAGAGGCGGGAAAGTCACTGAAAAATTGAACATACGAAGAAGGACATAAGTTTCGCTCTCGCGCGAGTTGCGTGGTTTCTCTTACCTTACCCCATGTTTTATGCCATAAGCACTTTTACATGTGTAAGATACACCATATCGCTCGCGGAGGATCGGACATTGATCTAGGGAAAACTTTGCTTTAAACGTGATCGTTTGTTTCTTATTCTTTGAAAATGGGATATAAATATCAGGATTTAAGTTAAAATACAGGGTACAAAAATTAGACGCTTATATTCTCAATTGTCGATATTTGTTCATTTTTAATTATATTAAATATACAGGAAATCATACACGTCAATTATATAGCGTTAAATGTGTGCTTATGAATTTATGATTAATTTACATATTTAAACAATAAATTACATATATCGTACAATATATTCTTCGTAACTTTAGTTAATTTGGAATTACCTAGGTGGTCATGTCCCGCTGACAATGGAAGACTCGCGCTAATGCATTAAATTAAGTGGAAAAGGATGTTAGATCTTAGCGAAAGACAGATGAACTTACGAGGATGTGACTCTAATAAAGGTGGTCGCCTTTTATGGCCGCTCTTAACGTCAGTCGTAATCTTGCTTGTACAATCGTTCGCTTTATATGCTTAGCGATCATTTAATTGCGCTAATGTGGTTTTTATGCGATCGTGTTCCGTCATGAAATTACTTTACTAACGGTCCCATTTTACGACCCGAGATCCAATTTTCCACGCGGGTGTTAAGACGAAATATTTCCTTGTATAAAAAAAGTGCCTGCAAAGTTGATGGCTTAGTTGGATTAGCCGAGTGTAAAATTGAGCCAACGGAAGGACGAACAAAGTTATTACGAATGCTAGAAAGCCGCGAATTTATTATCAAGAAAAAGTCTCCGGTGGGAGCGGAGGCAACTTTGCAATTTCTCAGCCACACCACTTTGCAGCAGTTATCCTCCGATAAAAATTGAATGCGGAACCGTCAATTTTTGGCGTCCAAATTCAACATGAAACTTTTACTGAAGCGAGATACATTTAATATTGATCTGCATATCGATTTTATTTGCTTCTCGTTTTTAATTCAGTTCGGTCTCGATGCAACGTCCACCGTTAATAAATAATCCCCGTAAAGCCCCGCTTACAGTCTCGCGTTCCGCGCTCCAAATAGATCACCCGCTATGTGTTAAATGGCCGACGATGCTAGTAGTTTGGCAAATCTTGCGGCCTGCCACCGTCGGTGCATCTCACGCCGGAAATCTCGAAAGGCCACAAACCGGGGACCTGGCACAGCCATCGTTTGCGGTCGATACTCTCGAAACACTTTTGGTGATATTCGAAATTTGCCACGAGTACCGTTCGGCGACAGCCCGGAAACCGATATTCACGTAGATACCTCTCCAACTCGTGCTTCGCCGTTAATTCTACAAATATATAGACACGATCCTTGAGGAGGAAATCAAATTCCTGATTTTCCAGGATGAAAACGAAACGGGCAATAATTTATACGCGACAGGGAAACGAAATTGATGAAACAAACCAAGCGAGGAAATAATTTGTAAGATCGGTAGTTTCATTAAATGCTGGGGAGTTCGATTTCTTCGAGCTCTTTAATAAAGGAAAGATTAGAATTAGGATTTATTGTTCGCATCTGTGATCCCCCGAGCGACTAGACGTCAAGACGAAATTAGTTAAAGGCGTCGCGCCAATTTCCCCTGATGCCCGACACTTGAATCGGAATCGGGGATGATTGAAGACTCTCTCGTCTGTTCCAGGGGATGGCGACGTAAAGTAGCGGCGGATTACTAGCCGGCACGAGATGAACACGAACGGGAACGCGGTTGCGCAGGAAGATGGTGCCGGTACCGATTACGGCGGTAACGAGGAGACGGCGGCGCTGCTCGGCAGGCCGCCGCCGCCGCCGGTCGTGGTGGCCGCGGCGTCTCAGGGCAAGCCGGTGCTGACGCGACAGGATCGGGCAACCTTCCTGGTCGCCTCGCCGCAACTGTCCGTGTCCGGGCTCGGCGGCTCCGAGGAGAGCGGCACCAACGAGGACCCGGCGACCAGATCGGTACCGGACATCGAGCTTCACTGCCGGCTGGACGGCGAGCCGCAGCCGTCGCCGCCGCCGCCGCCCCCGCCGCAGATTCAGCAACCGATTCAGCCCCAGCAGCAACAGTCGCAGCTACAGGCGTTGTCGGCGTCCTACGGCAGTCGCTCCTCCAGGCAGTCGCATCAGTACAGGTGTAGGTGCGACCGAAGGGACTCTCTCGCGCCCACCTCTGCCCTTCACTTGGCCCGCAGTGTCTCCAGGTAGGAACGATGCAGTCTTCTTTAAAAGAAATGAGTAAATAAGGGAGGAAGTAAATACGTTCTTTGCTAAAAAGTAAAGAAGTGAAAGATAAACTCAGGGAAAGAAAAGTAAGATACAATATGATATATCGAAACACATCGGGAATTGTGTGTAATATCGTATTCTGATAGTGTTTGGTTTATCTTTCCAATATTATCGATATTAAATTAACAATGATTTTCAACGAATAAATATTTAGAAACTTTTGATTGCATCTTACATAAAATTTCCTATAGTGAAGGAAAATGTATATATACAAGGTGTTTCTTAATAAGTGCGAAAAATTTTAGGAAGTGATTCTTTGCCAAAAATTAAGGGGAGTTTTTCTCCTCCAAAAATCGGAGTAAAAATTAGGTTCTTATTTTTTTCTCAACAAATTAAAGAAATGAAATTAGGTGGATATTTTATACTAGTAAAAAGATTATTTATTAATATTTTTTCAGCCTTCCGTATTATAAGGGGATGAACTAGCAACTCCTATTCAATTTTTTAATTACAACTTTTTAATGTTTATATGAAAAATCCCCCTTAATTTTCGACAAAGAATCATCTCCTAAAATTTTTCGCACTTATTTTTCATAAGCAAATCCTTGCGATTTTTATTAATAGACACACATTACCTACGCACGCTTTCCAAGAATGAAAAATAATGAATGCTTTGTAGTTTTACATACTAATATACGTGTTTTGTACATAATTAACAAGAAATAAAATTGGAAACATAAAGTATAAAGTGCGCTTGCATTTATATTTTATATTTTCAATTTTAATAAAAAGAATATTATCGTGAACGGTCGATTATTCTTTGTAACATATTGCATATTATAGTTGTCGTTACGGTTAAATAGCGGTATATAATTTTAAAAACCAAGCATGCTCGTTGAAATGAACGATAATTGTGTCTCTTTTATATTTATTCTCTCTACAACACGCGTTAAAGGAAAAAAATGAGGCGAGCATATTTCATACAACACATACATGCATGCATGCATGTATGTATTACATTTATATTTACGACGTACAAGGGAGTTAATCCAGGAAAACTTGCACATGCTTAAAAAGGAACGGCAGTTGTATAAGTTTAAACACGCGTGGAAAGTTTTGACTCGTAATTGACAAAGTTTAACTACTCCGCGAACACAAGTCGGCTACGCTGCCGTGAACTTGCGTTTAAATGTAATAGAATTGGAGCGAATAGTCGCAGACAGAGTTTTCGATTGAAGATGAGCACGAAACGGAAACTCGCTTCACAAATTTCCGATGCCGATTATGATTTTAATTTTCTCCTATGCCAATAGCATGGATTATCCCGTTTGTTTATCCAGCATCGATACGCCATTCTCTCTCCCTCTCTCTCTCTGAAACGCTAATCTTCCAGATGTCGCAATAAAAGATGTCCGATATTTATCGAATGTATCTCGTCCCGAGCTTCCGGCTTTGCAATTTTCGCAATGCATGAAAATGCTATTTGCTGCGCGAGGAGAAAAATCCTTAGAGCGATTTAATTTTTCATTATGTGGCAGACTCTGAGATTAAGGGATTTTTATCCGGAGCGCAGAGAAGAATCTATTCGCGAAATAGCTGCGCGAATCGGCCACTTTTATCTAAGTGCGCCCGGCAATTCGCCGAGAATCACCGTCCTTTCTCGGAGAAATGCGTTGCTCTCGGAAAAATGCGACATCTCTGTTTCCTTAGACCTCGCCCAAGCGGAATGGGCTTTCCTTCTAGGAAAGAAAAAGGTCTAAAAAAGTTCCTTCCCCTGCCGCCGTCGCGAATTTCTAGGATGATCTCATGCACTGGCTCGAAAGTCAAGCCGCGAAATTTTACGTCGTCCTACAGCTCGAATCTTTCGGAGGAAATATACGTCGCGAAGGTTGTCGAAAAGAGTCGAGAATAGAAAAAGGATCTGTAAAAAAATATCGTTACTAAGAATACCGATATGAAAATCCCGACGTTGATCGTTCTCTTTATTTTACGATCGCTTTTCAGCCACCATGATTTTATTATTAGTTGTTAAAATTTATTGGAGGACACTAGAGTCTTTATTTTTATTTCCAATTTTTAAATATTGAGTTTGAAATAAAATAAAATTAATCAAAAATTTAAAAAAATTGATTCTTAAGAAAATTGAAAAAACTGTAATAGTAAAAAACAAAGTTTAGTAAAGAAGATTTGAACATGTTTACGGCGAGTACAACTTTTTAATTCTAAATTTATCATATTTTAAAATTTTTCATATTTCCATTTAAAGCTTATATCAAAAGTTTCAGGAAAAAAACTTTTTGTTTTGAAACATTTTATGAATGTATAAAACTTGTAAAAGATCAGAGACCGAATGGTATTGTGTCGATATAGTGTTTTCGTTGTATTATATTCATTTATTAAGAAAGATACGCTTTGTAAACACATCTTTTATGCTTGTGACGTAAAATAAGTATATTGAATCATGAATAAAAGATCCATTGTTATCCCGAAAAGCCATTCAGAAGCTAAGGGACTTCACTTTTCACCTAAAGTCGAAGGCGCGACGGTTAATGATATCTCTAGACGACAGCCTCGCACTATATTTGTCCTGTAAAAGCCGAAGGCTCTTGGCTTAGGGTGTTTTCAAACAAAGAGAACCCTAGTCATATTCTGTACATATTCTAACGACAAAATTGAATTACCCCTATTCAACAGACGGAGTTTGCCAGAATCTCAGTAATTTCATCAGCAATTTCCTGCACACTCTGGTCTCCTAGAAATGACGTATTTATAATAGAAGAGATTATATTTGTTGTATATTTTCCTCGATAAACTTGGAACTCAATTTTGAGAGATTTAATGAGTGAAATTATTCTACAATTTTATAATGATTTTTGCAGTCGATTAAAAAATAAAATTTTTATTAAAATGAAATAGAGAGAGTTGAAGTTAGAATTGAAGAGAGATATTTTTCAGGTTTAAATTTAGAGAAATTTGTCAATTCAAAGCTTTGCTCATGATTTGAAAATTATCAGTGCCTGAATATCTCGGAATAATTATTATTTTAAATATCTGCGGCTGAAGAGTGCCTTTGAGACACTACGAATGCTACCAATTTAGTGGGGCAGCAGTTTTCAATGAAATTAGTCCACGGACGGGTGGCCATGTGCAATATTGGATAGCGTATTTGAGACTATCAATTCGACTTTATAGTTCACGCCAGCCATAAAATTGTACCGACTATAAACGATTCGAGAGCAGCCGATTACTGCAATATTACATATTTCCGAATAAAATTACGAATAGCTCAACTTTTTTTCTCATTTAACATTTTCATCGCAACAGTCCCGCTATTAATCGTATCAAGCTAAATATTGTCATATTTAAATATTAGCTAACGAGTAATTTTTAAAATAAAATAAAAAATGAGAATAAAAAGGATAAAATTGTCGATAAATAAAATAGCGTATGATATTAAATTTAGTTAAAAGTTCACGTTTTAATTACTATAGAAATAAAGTAAAAGATAAAAATTTTTAAAATCTCTTGACAGCTGAGTAGGAAACAAATTAAGTTAAAATTTTAACATTAAATTTAAAAAGTCAGATACAGTTTTCAAAACAAAAATATTCCCTGACACAAAATTACTCGTCCGATATGTTTACCAGGAATATCTCCTCTCGAAAGAGAGTTTTTCTAGAAATCGGAAGTCTCAAGTAGTCGAGTTAAAATACTCTTGAGGGATCGAGCGAGTTTGCTTCGCTCTCGCCCGGAAATCAAAATTACAAACAGATTCGGGAATAAGGATCAATTTAAATAAATACACGTAGAAGGTCAGAATATCGAAACGAGGCCAGATATCAGACTAAGAACCGAGATGGCTTTTAGGAAGAGGGTCGAGATCCCCCTCTTGCCGTTTGAAGCGGATGTAACCGGCTTGGTTTTCTGTTTGCGAAGGGAGAGCGTGAAGAGCGGCCACCATTGCTGCCCGTGTCAGGCGCCGCCGCCGCCGGTGCTGGTCACCACGTCGCCCAACGCGCGCATAATACGGCAGAGCTCGCAGCCGGAGGCGTCCGCGTGTTGCTGCTCCGGCTGTTGCTGCCCGTTGCACACCGGCGCGGCGCCGAGCGCCGCCTCGCTGCGGCAGCTACGCGAGCCAGGTGACGGGATCGCCGGCATCGCCGCCGACTCGCTGCGGATCAATGGCGGCATCCGACAATTCCGCCAGGTAAGCCAGCCAGCCCATTTCCCTCGCTTCCAGCCTCGCCGACGAGGCCGAGTCTAATGACACGCACGTGCGCACGTGTGTCCGTGATAGAAGAATACCCAGCTTTCGATCGACAGGTCGTTAGATGAGAATTTAATCGGATATTTAATGAGTATGAATATGTATCCCGAATTTTTATTTCTCATCGGTTTACCTCTCGCAAATATTTGTTGATGTGACACGTTAATTGGGATTTACAATTAGTTAAAAAGAGGGGAACAAGCGCGGAAATTCGCAGATTATTGTTGGAAATGAATGCTAGATTAATCACGCCGCCGTTATTACGCGATTGGTATTCTTATATCATGGACAAAGAGCATTACCTGTGCGCGGTACAGCACCACCGAACTCACCCCCTTTTATCGCCACCCTGCCTCTTTCCATAACACTCCCACACACGTGTCTATTTGCCCGCCTTTCTCTCGTGTTCGTGTTTGTTTTTGTTTCCCGGTGAGTTTGTGAAGAAGGAGGAAGAGAAAAGATTGTATTTAATTGGTAAACGATTTTGTTGAATGAGAGCGAATCTCGACGGAATATCTCAATGTTACTTAAGCATCTCCTTCTGGATATAAATGGACATTTAATAGACATTTTTACAACGGTTTTTCTTCAAGTTCCCTAGACTTCTCTTGTATTATTTGATTTGGTTTAATAACTATTCTCTCTCTTTTCTCGGTACATAAAATTTTACAAGAGACGTAGATAAAGTTTGTAAAGATTTCTATCTTAAAAAAATTCTCATAAGAATGCGATAAAGATTGCAATAAAATTATAATTATAGTTATAGATTGCTATAATTATAATTCGTTTCGCTTACTCTCTTTTTCTCTCTCTCTCTTTTTTCTTAAGCTTGTCCTTTATTGTTGCTCCTCCGGTTCTCTTCATGCATGTTTTTTTCATATATGTGTTCTCATCTTTTTCATTGTTCGTGTCTTCAGTGTCATTGTTTTACTGTCAATTTGCTCAACTCTTTTATTGGTGTTTTTTCACTCGTTATATTCCTATTCGTACATCATATCTGTGTGTTCGTGACGTCGTTTGTGTATCGAATGTGTATTGTAACGTTTCTTGTCTTTCTCTCTCTTTCTCTCTTATCATTCGTTTGAACTTTCGAGGGACAGATCTCTCCCTCTTTTATTCTCCAGTGCATCCTATCTGCTAGCTTTCTTTTTACCCTCTCGCTAGAGAGATTTACCGGTGTAAGTCCGGAATTGTAAAAGTGTATGATGCGCCGAGGAAGGATATGCACAGGTTTTATAGGATCGAAATTTACAGCGTGAGCTTTATGAGAATAGCGAATTGCGTTGCTTTCGTTACGAAGAAAATCCGTGACGATTCTTCTCATCTTGATCTCATCGTTATCCGTGGAAGGTTGATGGTTTGTCACGATGATAAGGATGTCTGTTGAAGTTTCACGTGTCTCATTTTGATTCGTAGGGTCTCCTTTTTTTATGATTTCCACGCAAATCTGCGTCTGTGGATTGAAAGATTTACGATGGATGCAAAAAAATTGTCAGTTTGCGAATTTCTAGGATTAAAAAAATCTCATTCGAAAAACTTGCGAAATCAGAGATTTGTAATTTAACGAGATTTATTGATTCGATGAAGCAAAATAATTAAGGATTTTTCAAGCTAGTAATTTTTTAAATCTATAGTTCGATATTCGAAAGCTGTAAAAATGTATCAATTTTTTAAGTACACAAGTATTAGAAAAAAAGCAAGACAATGTTTTGTGAATCGGAAAAATATGCTTCACGAATTTATAAATCTGTTAAATACAAGAATTTATGATTTTTGAATTCAGAAATCCAATCGATATGCAGTTAATACGATAAATTAATCGTGGAGGATACAAATCTCTCCGCACCCTTATCGGTGGAGTTTACCTATCGCCACCTGGTGGAGGGTGGAAAGAACAACAGAGAACCACCCTTAAGTGGTGTAGCTAGAGAATTATACCGGCGGAGAACGCAACGGTCGACGTTTGCTCGACGTTCGATACCTTACTCGTTGGATTTTTTGCCTCGTGTCGTAAAAATCCTGACGGATACAGATGGCAGTCGTTGTAAAAACAATCCTCTTGAAGGGATTCCTGAGCTTGAGTGGCGGCGTCTTAATTCTTTTTGGGCCAAACACGTGTCTTGAAATATTTTTTTTCTAATTTCTTAAATCTATGATATATATAAATATAAATAGATAGAAAAAAATGTAACATGTATAATAAAATATTTTTACCAGTAAATTTTAGATGCTTCGAGGAAAGTTAAATAAATTCTGGAAAGGAAAATAGTTTGAAAGAAATTATCTAAATAATATTGCAAGATGCATGAATTTATTTTTTTATATTTCTAAATAATTGCACTTCTCAAAATCATTCTTTTATTTATGGTAAAAAATATTAAAATTAATCAGCATTAAATTTCCTTTAAAATAGCTCGAGGGGACAATATACGATTGTACAATTCTTCTTTTCCCGTTGAGGGACACTCCAATGTGTAATAGCCTCGCTCTAATTTTTTTCTGGTTATATTCGTAATTTGCTTAGTCTCTAAAATAGAAGTCCTCCCGGACGAGAGCGTAAACCGAAATTTCTGTCTTCATTAAACGAGAGATTCGCGTCGCAAAAAGGGACCAAGAAGGGAGGGAGCTTGGTGAATAGGGATAGCGGGGAATTTCTCTCGACATTGTTAGTTTAATTATGTCTCCTTGGCGCATGGAAACGCGCCTGCGGGGTGATAGTCCTTTCGCTGGTGAGGCTTCTGGTGGTGTTTTTGGCTACTGGCCAACCAGGATACGTTCTCATGCATGAAATGGAGATTTGCTACGACCAGAACCCCTTGACATTTTCCCACGAGTTGGGCAATTGTTGGAAAATGCAAAATTGGTCAATCAAAATATATACATATGACGCAGATAATGCATGCTGTATTTTTATAAATGCATTCTCAATCAATCAATCGCTTCGATTCATCTCGTGATTTTCATTCTTTTCGCGAATTCATTATACGTATGAATATGCATTTCTATTATTATTTTTTTATCGGTATTTATAAATTAATATACATGCGTAACAATTCTCTGGAATTATATTTTTTACATGCTAAATACATTATAAAATCTCTCACAAAATCTATCGAGTGTTTTTCCGATACAAATTATTTCTTATTCTCATTGCAAAAGGATTAAGTACAGTCGAACAATTTGTTATCGGCAAAATGTCAGGGAGTTTTGAAACAGCATGTTCGTGTAGCGACACTTTTGCTTTTGCATTTTGATCACGTGTGAACGATTGCAATCGTACGTTTTACTCGATCGTGTTTTATATTTTTAATTTATTATGAATTTAGAACCACGTGAATATAGAAGGTGTATTTTCGCGGCTGTAAAAATGGAGTTTTCACTTGGAATCGTGTTTTTGCTTGAAAGCGATGTCGCCGCGATTTTTCGCAATATTTTTTTCATGTTTCGATCTCTTTTCTTCTCTCTTGTATCGTCGTTTTGATATAAAATAGTTCACATTGTGCCAAATCTAGACGTTATAACTTTTGCTTAGTTGTGTGGAAAAAAACGCACAACAATCTGTTAGTCTGTCATGCGATAAACTCGTATGTGTATTGTTTGTTTCTTTAGAAAACAATAATTCTGGAAACTTTATTGTAGAATAATTTTCATTATAAAATAATTTAATTAATTACGATAGATGATGTTTTGAAAAAAAAATATATTTATTCTACATATGTATAAATATTATTAACAAGATTTTGTCGAATGTTTTATATATTTTTCTAATACTTTATAGAATAAATATAAAATTATATAAACCAATATACATATTATAATTATCGTGTCGCGAGAATTGCGCTGATCAGCACTTTTTAAAAATTGTTATTTAGACAAAATTGCAAATTGAGTTATATTTTTCAAAGATGCGAACATTGTGAGTTTCTCCAATGCAAATATTCTAAAATTATTGCCTTAAAATTCAAATATAACAAGAAACAGTTTTAGGTATGCGAGATGCATACTGCAGCTCGTAGTGCATACTATGGCGTACTATTCTTACGTGTCGGATATTTAATATCGCGCAATTTCCAGGACATTCTATCTCCTGCTTAACGACCGGAGAAAAGTATCTTCGTAGCGGTCCGAGGCGTGAGATTTTTTCGCTGATTCTAACAAACCACATGGGCACTTTCGCGATTGTACTCGTGACCAACCCTCGGTTATTGTTGTTTGTTTAGACCTGCGCGAGGATGTGAGAAATTACTAGATGCATTCGCGAGTCACTTTAATTTCTACGGCCGCAAGAATTTATATAGATGGGAAAAATAATTATCCAGGTAGAAATGAATTTTTTCGAGTGATTGGCGAAATTTTAATGAACAACTTTCAATTATAAAAATTTAAATGTGATAGAGCTCGCTTTTAATTAAAGGAAACTTTCATGTAGAACTTTAATTCTCGTGATTAAACTGCAAAATTCCTTAATATTAAGAATTTTCTCGAGCGAAAGCTGTCTGCGAACTGAGTAATAAATAAATGGAGCAACACGGCGAGTCCATGTATTATACTTCATTAGTTAATTAATTGTTAAGTAATTGCGCGAAATAGAGGGCATGTAAGCGCGATGGGACGTTCGATGTTGTTCCGTGAGCTTTTCAGGAATTCAGCATCGGTTTTCTATTTGTCCCAGGGAGCCGCTTCCTCTCATTATGTGGAATTAAACAGAAAGGATTCTGGCCGTGAGCTTTTTTCCCCGCGGGGCCTCGAATTTGAATCTTTCATCGCGCGCTCCGCATATATTAGCTCGCGGAACAACTTTTAATTTCGCGTCCGTCCCATAAGGATAATAGCCTGCATTTGCATAAGGATAACTTTCAGCCGTTTCACGCTCCAAACTATTCCGCGAGATCGCCGACCGTGTTCTTAATCGGCGACAAAAATATCGTCGAGATTGTAAA